AGCCAGTTCTTAACCATCGTGCCATTTGGCCGGCCGAGATGATTTTTGTTGTTGTTCGTTTTTACTTTGTTTTTTACTTAGGACATTGGACCAGATCCCGCCATACATATCTGGCTCATTCTTTATCTTGATATTTTCCACTGATGGATATGTTATGTTTTTCTAAGACAATACCCTATTGATGGACATTTGCATTGTTTTCTCTCTTTTGCTTTCATAAACAATACTGGCATTAATATCTTTGGACATATATGTATTTGTCCACATGTGCAAAACTTCTAGAAATAGCATTGCCAAGTCAAAGGGTATTTGCACTGTAAATATATATAGAAGTGCCCAGGTTTCCCCCAAAGAGACTTTTTAACCAACTTGACCAATGTATCAGTGCCACCTTTCCCTCATCCTTGTTACTTTTATCTTTGCCAATCTGATAAGTGAAAACTTGTATTCCATTCTAGTTCACACTTACATTTTTACATGTTTAAGCATTTTTTCATATGTTCAAAGCCTTTTTTCCTGCAAACTTTTTATTTGTCTTTTGCCCATTTGTCTATTGGTTGAATGGTCTTTTTCTTATGATTTGTAAGAATTCTTTATATTAAGGAGGTAAACCATTTGTATGTCATATATTGCAAATATTTCTCTCAGTCAGTCATTTGTATTTTACAATACTTTGTGGCATTTTTCCCAGGTGAAAATAATTTATTTTGTAGTCAGTTTTCAAACTTTTTTCTTTCTTGGGCTTTGTTTTAGTTAGGGAGGCCTCCACTATCTAAGATTATTCTTCAATAGTGTTTTTTTTTCTTTTTTACCCTCTTCACCCATTTATCCCTCTCCCTGTACCCCTTCTCTGGCAACTGCCAATCTGTTCTCTGTCTCTATGAGCTTGGTTATTTATTTATGTATTTTGGTCCCACAAATAAGAGAGCGATCGTACAGCATTTGTCTTTCTGTGTCTGACTTATTTCACTTCACAAGATTATTCTTTAAATTCCGCCATCTTTCTATTTAATACATTTTTTTAAAGAGTTTAAATCTTTGATTCAACTGGAATTAATTTAGTGAAAGGAGTGAGGTAGGCGTATTCATTTCTGGTGGCCACCGTAACAAATTATCACAAACTTGGTGGCTTAAAAAACAAAACTTGATTCTCTCACTGTCTGGAAGCCAGAAGCCTGAAATGAAGGTTTCGGCTGGAGCTGCACCCCGTACAGTGGCTGTAGGGGAGAAGTTGTTCCCTGCTTCTTCCAATTTCTGGAAGTTGTATGTTTACTTGGCTCATAGCTACATTACTCCAGTCTCTGCTCAGTCTTCACATAACCTTCTCCTTGTGTTGGTCTCCTTTTCTCTCTTGTAGGATACCTGTGATGCCATTTAAGGCCCACCTGAGATAACCCATTTTAAGATCCTTAATCACATCTACAATGTTTGTTCTAAATAAGGTCACTTTCACAGGTCCCAGGGATTTAAGGTAGCTATTTTGTCGGGGGACCATTTTTCAGCCTACTCGAGCCAACCTGGAAAAAAAATCCCTTATGAACTAATTCAACTTACATGTTATACTGATATCAGTCCCCTGTCTGCTAATCATTTTGAGCTACTTTGCATAAAAGAAAAACACATTGTCTTAGCCTGGTTTCCTCTGAAGCAGACCCTGAAATAAAGAGTCTTGTAAAGGTGATTGATTAGAAAGCATTCCCTGAGCGAGTGAGTAGGGGAGTGGAGAAGTGTAATGAAGCCACACAAGGGTACAGTATTAGGCAGAATTCCAGGAAGGGTCACTTTGGCTCCGTCCTATAGGGTAGCCCTGGATACCCTGGTCTGAGGCTCAGTAACTGGAGTATTTATACTGTTGGTCACTGGTCATGGCTGGAGATGGGGTCGGGGAAAAATTTGTAGGCACTCCAGCTCTCTAGGGCTTTAGCTACCAGCTGACAGCTTTCTGACAAAGAGAGATGGGTGCTGCTGCTGTGAGTGAAAGCACCCCACGCAAATATGCTAAAGGGATTGGAGGGCATCTGGGGGGAGCGCTGAATCCTCTGCTATCTGTGTTGTGTTACTAGCAGGACAGACTTTATTGTGTAATGTCAATGGTGGCTGCTCACAATATGTATTAATAACAAGACAGTACAGATGGAACATCTCGGAACAATTAGTTGGATAATATTACAACAGCGAAGAGGGTCATATCAAGGCTGGCCAGCTAAATTGTGTGCATTTCGCTTTCATGTGTATAGAATTTGTGTGTTTGTGTGTGTGTAAACTATATTACCACATCATTGGCAGTCAGATAAGCTTATAGATTATGTCTCTGTTGACGCTTCCGTTTTTAATGGAGTAGCTATTTTCTATTACTGTACTTCAAAAACACTTGTTTAGAAACATAACCCAAAATTAGCTGAGGAAAGAAGCATAAACAGAGCCATGGTTTAAAATCTGCTAATTTTGATAGTGAACTGCTCCAAATATTAATAGATGTGCATATGTTTACACACAAAGCAAATCATTGAGGTGTCTCCACAAATATTGAAATAATACTGTTTGCTGATTATTGATTGGTATTAGCAATATATAACTTACAGGAAGGTGTCAAAGATCTAACTTACTACTGAAGAAAATGAGACACTGAGAAGATAGAATAACTTAGAACCTGCTGGATATCAAGTGATTGCCAGAACCCAGGCCAGGAACCTGGCCTTAGAATTTCCAGGTTATTGTTCTAATTTCTAACAACTAATTATTTTTGATAGAGGATCAGACCTCAACTCAGTCTGAAATTCTCATGTCTGAGATTTTAAGTAATACATGTACTCAGTGGGGGAAAAAAAAAAATCCAGCAGTGCTGAAGGGTAGATGATGAAATTTGAATGCTTCCCCTTCACTTCAACACCCAGTTTCTTCATTTTACTACTTAGTGGTAACCACTACTGACAGGTTCTTGTATTTCCTCCCAGAGAGAGTCCATGTATAAATGAGCAGATGTGTGTGTAGATACATTCATTGTTTAAAAACACAGGTATGTAGCATGTCTTATGGACATAACCATAGTACAATTAATTAGCAACAACA